AGTTCAAGACCAGCCTGGGCTACAAAGTGAGCTCAAGGACAGCCTGAACTACACAGTGAAACCCTGTCTCAAAAAGACCTGGAATTTGCTCCTCAATTGAGACTCTTTATAATGGATTGGGGGGGGGTGCTACACACCTCCCCAAAAAGTGTGGGCTAAGGAAACAGCTCTTTAGTTATCAATAATACAGCAAATACAATCTGGCATTTGTTCAGGTAACATCAATTTTGTTTCATTCCATCCCTTATTGAGAAGCTGAGAGAACGGAAGGTGCCACAGGGGAGAATGAGGTCCAAGCAGAGTCAAGCCGAGCTGCAGGTCAGTGCAGAAACCAAGGCTGGCTCCAAGGCCCCCAGCCCCCCATCATGAACCTCTCATCCCTGGCACACAAAGGGTCACTTTCTATCCGCTTGCCAGAGTCTACCTGCTAAGATGGGGGCTTCCCCCTTCTGTCACCTCCGTTCCCCTCATCCCCTCCCAGCCTCATCACATCCCTGAAGTCCAGGACTATGACTCATCCTCAGAAAGCAGCAGCACCAGGTCATGCCAGCCTTCTCTTCTGATGCCTCTTCAGTAGGCTCCTACAAATCCTGTGCCCGGCATTCAAGGTTTTGTGCCAGTCAGCTACAAACCTCTTTCTCTGCCACCCTTGGCTTCTCTACCATGCACTGATTTGCTTCCTACATCCCCACCCCCTGTGCAGAAGATCCTATCTGCTTCCTTGTTTGTTCCCAGTATCCCAAACCAGCAGCTTCTAAATCCCAGCATTTCCTCATAGCCTGCCTCCTCCTGGAAGCCTTTCTAGACATTCCTGCTCTGCAGCTCACTGCACCAATTCCAGATCAGTTGCTGGGACTTAGTAATCGCCCATCCTCGGCTAGTAGGTCCCTCACAGATGGCTTCCAAGGGGACTCGCAGAGCACAGTCAATCTGTATTCAGTAATGACTTAAAACGTGGACATGGTCCAAAGGATGGGGGGTGGGGAAACTGTTGTCCTCCCCCTAACAGGAAAAGGCCACAGCTTCTGTCAACCCTGCTGATCACACTTCCTCCAGGAAACCCTCGGGGACTTCACGCTGGCAGCGGGACAGGAAGCACAGCCTGCAGAGGAAGTGCTACAGGGAGTGGGGAGAGGGAAGAGGAAAAGGAGAACTGGCGAGGTTGTGCTGAACTAGAAAAAGGAGCTTCCTAGAGGGAGGTCGCTATCTGGTCCTGTCATTCTGTCCATAGAGAGGTGCCAGCAGAAAGATGCCCAGAGAGGGAAACCAACGTGTTCAGAGGTGGCCAGCAGGGAATGGGCTACAGAAACCACCATGGAGCCCCCGGCCCTTATCAGGACTTCCCTCCAGGACCCCACTGGCTTCATGCCTTGTGCTAGACTAAGAAGTGCTCCCTCTGGGGCCATTCAGCAGCAATGGGCCTCTCTGCAGTGCAGACTTTCCTGTCGGACTCACTGGGCTCTGGTGGAACTAAGCTAGCAACCTCGCAGTGCCCCAAACAAGACCAGTCACACCCCTGCCAGAACCATCTCCCTCTTCCACAGCTCTGAGCTGTGCAGACAGAATGGAGAGAGCACAGGTTGCAAAATTTTCCAATCCCCGCTCCCTGCCCCGCGCCCCATCCTGGGGCATGGTCACAGGGCCGGGCTTAGGGAGGGTGAGGGTGCTTGTTCCTACCTGTATGCCTTGCCCCGGGTCACCCCCTGTCCTATCCTGCCTGTTCCACGCAAATCTCACCTCCTCCAGTCTCCCGTTCAACGGCTCTGCCTGCCTCTCTCCCTGTGTCCCCGGGAAAGTCGGCCAGGCCCTCTGATGTCCCCGTGGGGAGCTGGAACACGATGGGCTTGCGTGGCCTGCGATGGCCAATGCTCTTTGCGGTCTCCATCTGGATCTCCCAATCCCCGGGCCAGCAGCTCCCAGAGGGGGGACAGGGATCGGTCCCCACACACCTCGCCTCTTTCCTCGTGACCGGCTCGTGCCTGCTATACGCGGCGCGTCCAACCCACCACCCGGGCCCTGGCGGGGTCCAGGCCCAACTAGAGCGCCCATCCCCCTCCCCCAGCCCTGGGGTGGCTGCAATCCCTCATTCGAAGGTCGCTGCTCAGGAGGGAGGGTGGGGAGACTCGAGTCACTTGGGGGAGGAAGGGCCTCCCGCGCTTCCATCCCAGGTCCCAAATGGGGGTTGCGGGACAAGGCCCCGGGATGAAGGGTCTGACGTCACCGCACCCCGAGTCCCGCGCGCGACCGAGGATGGGGACAGCAGGAGCTGTGCCGGGGGTGCGCACGGAAGGTCACCCCGACTCTGCACCCCAGCAGCTCACAGAGATTCAGATTTGCGCCAGCCCCCATCCTCGCTCCCAGCCCCGTCCCGTCCCCGTCCCGTCCCGTCCCCACGGGCCGCAACTCACCCTCGCTGCTGCGCTGCACCGAGCGAGGCGGCGCTGAGCCGCGCTGGCTGGGGAAGCGCGCGCCGGGGATCCGATCCTCGCGCGCCCCCGCTGGCCTCTGCAGCTGCTCTCGCGAGATTCCATCCCCAAGCCTGGAGGGCGATCACTCTCGCGAGAAATGTGAGGCTGCTTGATCCAGGAGCTGTCCGAGGTGCTGCCCCTGGCCTAGCCCCACGGGGGAAGAGATCCAAAGATGGAGGACCGGCCAGGAGCCATTGACTCAGTTTCCAGATCCATAAACTGGGGAGAAAGACCTCCCTTGCCACCACAGGGATGAGCAAGGAAGACTTTGAGAGCAGGAAATTTGTACTTAATCATTTAATACTTAAGTCACATTTTTAAGGCTAATAACAGAAATGTCATCAGCAATCAATGCAATGAAATAAAGTGATTTCTTACTGAAAATAAAAAGAAAGAGGGGGCTGGGGATTTAGCTCAGCGGCACAGTGCCTGCCTGGCAAGCGCGAGGTCGTGAGTTCGATTCCCGGTACCAGGAAAAAAAAGAAAGAAAGAAAGTGGGAGAGTGTGGCAACTGATGAAAGTCCTCAGATCTAAAGGCTCAGGGTGATGTGAGAGGACAAAGATGAGATGGAGAGACGTGGACACCCAGACTACAGAAAGACAGACACAGAGAGAAGAAAGCCGGGGTTGGTGATACACAGCTGTGACCCAAGTATAAGCTAGACAGCAGCTAAGCTGTAGACAGTAGACTGAACTCTCTAGCAGCTAAGACAGACATGGATTAATGGGTGGTGAGAGAGGAGTCCAGCCCTCGAGGAAGTCGGTGAAGAGGATGAGATACACCAAAACTGCGGTTGGGAGTGAATTTAAAGAGAGCCAGGCCTCAGGATGGAGACTTGAGAGCCAAGCCTGTGGGTCTCCTTAGAGATAAACAGAGCCTCGGGTTGTATTGTAATTAACACTACTTGGTCCAGTGAGCCCAGACAGGTATCAGATGCACAGGTGGGTGTCCAGAACACTTTGACCCACACTCCAATCCCTTTCCAGGGAAGCCTTGGTTCTTTCTATGTCAAAAATGACAGATAAGTCAAGGTTGATATTGCCCATCATATAGCTCTGCTGTGTGCCTTACTTCCCTATTGGATCAATAGTAGCTAAGCAACTGTACTTGTAATCCTATAGATTGATTGCAGTTTAGCCCATGCTGTGATTCTGCTGTCTAAAATATCCTTGGACAAAGAATCTCTGTGGCAACACACTGTAGGGACTGCTCCTGTCTCTCAAGAGCTTTCTCTCAATAAATCATTAGCATTCTAACCTACTTTTCCCCCAAATCCACTCTGATATCATGAGACCAGAACTTGGCACACGTGACATGTAACAGGTTAGGATTTACTTCCCTGTGACACCATAACTCTGGGAGGCTGAGGCAGGAGGATCACAAGTTCAAGCCCGATTTGAGCAAGTTAGCAAGTACCTGTGTCAAGGTAAAAAAATAAAGAAAAAGGCTGGGATGTAGCTCAGTGCAAAGGCCCTGAATTCAATCCCTAGTACTGCTGAGAGGAGGCTTGGAAAAGGAGACAGTACTATGGAGAGATAAATATCAACAGAGTAGAGAGCAGGGTAAATGCTTAAAAACTCCAAGGGGTCTTCTTGGAGAGATGAGGCTGCAGCAGAAGACAGGCTTTTATTGATTATGCTGTTTACATAGTAACCTCCTGTGGGATCCCCACAGCCAGGGCCTCTGTGTCCTGCCGCCAACTGCTCCTCCCCCACAGAGCCCTGCCTCCTCCACCCCCACCCAGCCACCCTGATCCTGGAAGCAGCCTCAGTGGGTGGAAGACACTGCAGGGATTCTTTGCCCAGAATAAGGGCCCATTGTCTGGCTCAGCCTGCCAGGCGTGGAGCCTCCCTCCCATAGCTGGGCTGGAGAGGGCCGGAGGGGAGAAAGGAACAGAAGTGCAGGAGTGGAAGATGCAGAGAGGGGGATTTGGGGCTGGAAGGGGCTGAGCAGGAAGCAGTATCCACCTGCAGGCCACCAGGAAGGAAGAGCCCTCAGGGACAGGCAGGACAACTGGACTCTGTTGGTCCTGCCCCTGCTTTGTCCACATGGTCGCTGATCCCTGTTTCCGCAGTAATGCAAGCCTAGCCAGATGTGGCGGCGCTTCCCTGTAATCACAGCACTCAGGCAGCTGCCATGGGAGGATCTCTGCAAGGTTGAAGCCAGCATAAGCTGCACGGTGAACTCAAGGCCAGTCTGAACTACATAGCAAGAACCCATCTGAAAAACCAAAGCATAAAAAAGATTTAAATCCAGCCTGATTGATGGTGCTGTGGGAGGAGCTGTGATATGACAGATGGGCTCTTGCAGAGATTAGGAAAGACAGCTCCTCCAGGAGGAAAGATGGAGTCCTCTGGGGGCCTCAGGAAAGACATTGGGGTTTACACGGGTCTTCAAAAGAGGGCTCTGAGGTCCACATTGAGGACTAAAGATGAGGTGTCTGGAATTCACATGCAATCTACAAGACACATCGTGTGGTTCCTGTGGCTCCTACAGGGAACATGTCAGGATTTCCCTCCAATAACCACAGGCAACTTTCTTCCAGAAGAATCAGAAGTGCTACTGTCTGCCGTCATCTTCTTCATAATCATGTAGAAGGGCTGGGGATACAGCTCAGTGGCACAAGCGCCTGCCTGGCAAGTGCAAGGTCCTGAGTTCGATCCCTGGTACCACAAAACAAACAAACAAACAAACAAAAATGTTAACTCATAATCATGTAGAAAAATGACCAGGCCCAAGGTCAGGCGCTAACCCGTGTCTCCAGGGATTGCACCCTTCATATGCATGTGAATGGGATGGAGCAATGCGGTATGTAGTTCTTTAATAGGTATTTGCTGATCACATCTCTTAAGAAACACCATAGGGCCATGGTTAAGAATATGGACCAACACAGCAAGGTGGCGCCTGTCTGTAACTCCAGCACTTTAGAGGCTGAGGCAGGCCGATCCCCACAAGTTCAAAGCCAGCCTGGGATACATAGTGAGTTCAAGGGCAGCCTGGACTACATAGCAAGACCCTATCTCAAAAAAAAATATGGCTGGGCTTGGTGGTGCATGCCTGTAATCCCACCACTCAGGAGGCTGAGGCAGGAGGATTGTTGCAAGTTTGATACCAGCCTGGGCTACAAAGTGAGCTCAAGGCCAGCCTGAACTGTTAGTAAAACCTTGTCTCAAAAAGACAAAACAAAACAAAAAAAAGGACCAAGCCTGTTGTGGTGCTGCACGCTATAATTCCAGTACTCTGGGAGGTTGAGGGATGAAGATCACAAATTCAAGCCCAGCTTAGGCAATTTAGTAACTTCGCAAGACCCTTTTAAAATACAAATAAAAAATAAAAAATAAAAAGGGCTGGCACCAAGTATGGTGGCACATGCCCGTAATCCCAGAACTCAGGAGGCTGAGGCAGGAGGATCGTTTCAAGGTCAAGCGATGAGCTACATAGTGAGTTCAAAGCTATCCTGAACTATACAGTGAGACCCCGTCTCCAAAAATAAAAAAATAAAAAAATAAAAAAAGGCTGAGGATGTAGCTCAGTGTGAAGGGCCTGGGTTCAATACCCAGCCCCTCACCAATAACTATAACTACAAAATAGGTGTGAGGACCTACTGTGTGCCTGGGGCATGGTAAAGAGCAAGAGGGCATTCCAGGCCTCTTCGGATGTGGAAAATGGCACCTCAGTTTACATGCTGTCAGGCAGAACATGTTATAGGTTAAATCTAAAATTAGTGCATGGGGACTGGGAGGAGGGAAGTCCCTCCCCCAGAATGCTAGGGAAAGTCACAGGACCAATGGTTGGGTGTTTCATCCCTTCGCCTGCAGGGCACAAGTGACTGGGCACCGGGATCCAAATTTTCACCCACAGGGCAGCTCCAGGATGCTGTTTTCCTGCTCAGTGGGGCTGAATGAGGCACACCCACCCAAGGGTCCCTGGGGGGCAGCTGTGTCACAGACCAGGGGACAGCTGAGAGTACTGGCACTTACAGACCTTTCGTATGTCAGTGAGATGCTAAGCCTTGTGGCTGTGCTGGAAGTGACTGAATCTTTCTTTCTTTCTTTCTTTCTTTCTTTCTTTCTTTCTTTCTTTCTTTCTTCCTCTCTCTCTCTCTCTCTCTCTCTCCCTTTCTGTCTTTCTTTCTTATTTGTTCAAGACAGGATCTTACTATGTAGTCCAGGCTGACCTTGAACTCACCATGCAGCCCAAGATGGCTTCCAGCTCATGGCAATCCTCCTGTCTCAGCCTCCTGAGTGCTGGGATTTCAGGTGTACACCACCACACGCAGCTTGTTATCCAGTGCAAGGGAGGGTCAGAGAGGCAAAGTAATCTGCTAAGGAACCTAGGGCAGATTCTAAGAAATGGAACATCAGGGATCGTTTATTCCTTTGGTTTTTGTTGTCGTTGTTGTTTTTGTTGTTTCTGAGACAGGGTCTCACATGTTACCCAGGCTGGCCTCAAACTCATGGAGAACCTCCTTCCTCTACCTCTTCAGTGCTGAGATTCCAGGTGTGCACTACCACATCCAGCATTTTAGCATGTATTGCAAACGTGAGGCTCAGGACTCACCCCGGATTCCCCGTCTGGTGCTCCCCTTTGCTGCGTTGCTCCACGCTGCCGAGCCTGTGCTTGTCTCCTTGCCCCAAGCAGCGTGCAGGTTCCCCCAGACTCAGAAAGTGAAGATGCATCTGAATTCTCCATCTGACCAGGGGCCTGGTCTTCCAGAATTTCTGCTCCAGTCCCAGCCCCACAGCACAGGGGAATTCTTGTGGCTCAGTCACAAAAGGGCAAATCACCCACTTAACATGGACCAATCATCTGAATAGAAGCGTCTCCACAGAAAGTACACAAGTGGCCAATCAGCACATGAATATGAGCTCAACATAATTAGACCTCAGGGAGATGCAAATCAAAACCACAATGAGAAACCACTTTTCACCCACAGAAATGACTATCATCAACGAGACAGATAAATGTATGTGGGAAGCCGACCATCGCCCTGCAAGTTGGCCAGGATGTTAAATAGAGCAGCTGCTGT